GGGCTGAAACACACTAGGGAACATAGAAACACTAGGAAAACCAAGGTGAAAACTGACAAATCATGACAATTGGTGGTAATTTTTGACTGTGTAACTTTACTAACGGCACCCCATAAATATATTGCCTTGCTTACAGTATCGCAATATATCGGGATATATCGTATCGTGACCCCTCTGTCATGATATGTATCGTATCGCCAAATTCTTGCCAATACACAGCCCTAGTCAGAATCAACATCACCAGTTTTGTTGAAAACCAAACGCAGCATCTCTTCACAAACAGATTATACCAACTGCTAAGCACAGTGGAGGAGGAGGAGGGCAGATGATTTCATCTTGTTTTACAACCACRGGATCTGCAACTCTTACGTTTTACCCCTTTTGTCCTACACAGGAAAAAAAAAAAATTATGCAAGCACTTCTACAATAAAAGTAGCTGTGGAAAAATGATATGTTGTAATGACCAAGTCAATAATCAGACCTCAACCCAATAGAAACATGTTGGTGGGAACTCAAGAGAACTGTGTATAAATATTCCCACAAACCTCATTAAACTGAAGCAAATTTCTAAAGAGGCAACACTTATTCAACACAATGTAAGAAAAACAAGTTTGTCCCAAAGACAGTTCAAGTTATTGCTATTATAAATGTTCTAAATCATGACAAATTGTAATATCTGAAGATATTTGTTTCATTTGTAATAATTTAATTTACTTTTTATTTCTTGCCACATGAAACCCATGAAATGAAGAAAGCTGCTCAGCTTTTTCTACCACGACTGTAACACAGTTGTTCCCTCTGTGTGTTCATGTTTTACATTTGAAAGCAATAATTATGAACAAACATTATAATATTATTTAGACGTGGATTTTGGGTGGATTTAGCCTCTTTAACTCTAAACAGCYAATCATCTCAGTGCCTTTAAGCAGGTAGATATTAAAACAAACTGTTGATATGTTTGACAAATGGACATATGTTTGCATGTTATGTGCTCTACCTGTATAAYATGTTGTCTTCGTGTCATTTGTGATCTGGATGCTGCTGCTTTTAGCGAATGACCACCAGCAGCAGCTCTCCTAGTCTTCTCAATGATGGTGCCAAGAATTTCAGCCACAGCACTCATGGTGAGACGCCCTCACAGAGAAAACACTCGTCCTGATTATGTAAAGAGCTTTTCTTTCAACGCTTCGCTCTTCGATCCCTCACAGATCCAGTGAACTCCCCGACTTCTTCACTGTTCAGCGATTTTGGTGCTCTCAGCATTTCCCAAAGGAGAAAGGTGAGCAGATTAATGAAGCTCTCCTAGTGTTCATTACATTCATTGAGTGCGAGCAGGTTTTTGAAACTTAAATTTTCATTTCCCTCTTTGTACCTGAGGAGGGTTGTTGATTTCTTGTAATTCTTCTGTATTTTACTKTCATTAACAGGCTCCAAACCCGACCGCGAGTGAGTTTATCCCAAAGGGAGCTCCTCGAATGGCCGCCATGACGCAGTCCGCTGTCCAGGCCTTTCCCTCACCTCTCTTCACTCATCCTGGCCTCGGAGGCTCCACAGCTGCCGCTCTGGCTCCAGGTGAGAGATTTTATTTTATTTTATTTTTTTAAGTTTTGTAAATATCTAATTTGCTTTGCTTTAATATTGTAAGCCTCAGTAATAATCAACATTTATCTGTAGGCATGTCTCTCTCTGCTGGATCGTCTCCTCTTCACTCTCCAAAAATTACACCCCACACCTCGCCTGCCCCTCGTCGTCGCAGTCACACCCCCAACCCGGCCAACTACATGGGGCCCGCCACGACGTCCGACCAGGGTGCCCACATTATCCAGAAAGAGACCGTAGGAGGAACTACTTACTTCTACACAGACAACACCCCAGGGCCAATGGCTGGGATGGTATGTTGGAAGCACGGTGCAGATTAGAGATCTCCAGATGAAAATAAATCTAAAAATTTCTGTCAGTGAGTTTGAGCGCTGATGCATGAAGTCATTTTGGGGCAGCTAAATGTTGCATTACGGTTAGAAAGTTTTTAATTTACTTAATAACTGATTAAGATCTTCAGTTTGTTTCCTCCCATTTCTTTGCATCGTTTTTAAAATTTTATATATAATAAAAAAAAAAGGCAAAACATGCCAACATGTCTCTGTAAATGGGAAGATATTAGAGATCTTCACATGAAGATAAATCAAAAAATTTCTGTTAATGAGTTTTAGATTCTGCCAGGAACATGTGAGCATTGATGCATTAACTTATTTCGGGGCAGTGAGGCTTTTCACTGGGGTTAGAAAGTTGTTCATTACTTAACTGATAAAGATCTTCAACAACAGTTTTGTTTCCTCCCATTTATTTGTATTGCTTTTAATATTTTAACTAAAAAACATAAAAACATACCAACGTCGTTCTAATTTCTCTGTAAATAGGAAATGGTGTTTTTTATTGGTTTCGCTGCAGGTGTTTCCTACCTTCCACATCTATCCCCCCACTGCTCCACATGTGGCTTACATGCAGCCGAAAGCCAACGCCCCGTCCTTTTTTATGGCTGATGAGCTCCGACAGGTATTGCTCAGTTGTCTTCTTCTGGTCGTAGTATTTTTATGAAACGGTGCCCTTCTCTTCCATGTAGTGGGAATATCTAACGATATCTCATGTTGTTCTCCCTCAGGAGTTGATAAACAGACATCTGATAACTATGGCTCAAATTGACCATTCAGAGAACCCAGGTAAACCATCACCTTCAGTTAAACCAAATGTGCTGTTTTTTTTGTGTGTATGTGCACTAGTGTTGGGCGATATTGGCAAAAAATAAATAAATTTAATCACGATTAATTGTGGTATTTAGCCGATAACGATTAATCCCCTGGAGTCCCTGGACGCCTGCATGTCCTAGTCACATGATCAATTTAAATCACTCTAGTGGGAAAGATTTGTTCTCTGTAAAAATCGGTTCCAAATTCTGTCAAAAGTACAGACTTCAGGCTAAMCACCACTTTTTAAATGTGTTGATAGACCAATTAGAACTGGAGTTATTATAAATAAATTACAGAACTTGTTAAAAAAAWGTTTGTCATATTTGAAGCGGAGAGGAGCGAGTCAGTCTGCCTGGTGGCGTTAATCATATTAATCGTCAAGTGCCAAAAAAAAATTAAAGTTTTTCTGATGATTAATTGGACATGATACGATTTTGCCCAACCCTAGTGTGCAGCAGAATGAAGGAAACATTCTTGCAGTAAAAGTGTTCATATTGATTATTTAGTTGTAAAAACTCTTTTAAAGTTATTTATTAACTTGTATTGTAGTGCAAGTGAAGTAGGTCTCATCTAATGTTAGTCTTGATTAAATAATTGAAACAAGTTTTAAACTGGAGTAAATTCAAAWTTTTCTTTAAGTTGTTAATCTGGATCGTGTTTCTCTTCTGAAATTGCTTTTGTCAGACGTCCCCTCTGAGGTGGACAGCTACCACAGCCTGTTCCCACTTGAACCTCTTCCTCCACCCAACCGCATGCAGAAGACCAGCAACTTCAGCTACATCACCTCCTGCTACAAGGCTGTCAACAGCAAAGATGACCTGCCTTACTGCCTGAGGCGGATACAAGGTACCAATCTGCATTCAACGTATGAAATTAAAATGGCCTCTTTGGTGCAGAATTTACTCACATATCGGTTCCTTTGGGAAATTGCGATCGCTGCTATGAAAAAGATTCAAGTCATTTTGCTCAGACTTTTCTGCAATCATCCAGTGGCTTTATCAGTGTTTAAAGTGCCAGTAGCTGCGTTTCCATTGGCCATGAAAATGCGCAAATTAGAATTTTGAAAATAAATTTGCTCAATGGAAACACGTCAATTTCGAAAAAAAAATAACTTTTTTCGACAAAAAATGTTTTTGTGCTAGGATGAGGTGGTATTTCGGCCGTGTYGAAATGGGTGTTTTTCGCAAAACTGCAATTGAAACACTTTTTTTTGCATCACGGGAGTCACGTGATCAACAACCGGCTGTTTCTACTGGCGAAAAAGACGAYGACGAAGAAGATAACAGGAAGTAGAAGTAGTGGTAATATCACAGAAGTAAAATAAAATAGTAAACTCACCGACTACAGTTTCCCAAAAACACAGCATACATAGCCGCTCCCAAGTAGGAGCTTGTCGCTGCAAAGCCTCAACAAGACGCCGACGTCTCCTCTGATGATGAGCGCTAGTGTCGCGGTACCAACATGCTGTGTTTACATCCATTGCCGCCATGTTTGTAATGACTTATCGCGAGAACAAACGTATTCACACATAACTTTAATAGCATTTCTTACTTAATGGAAACACCGTAGTTACGAAACTGTGTTTTTTTGACATTAACAGAATATCAACAAAGTTTTGAGCACATTTGCAATGGAAACGCAACATGTGACATGCATATTTTTCAAACATACAAAGTCAAATAACACATCTTTATATTTAAGAAAGTTTACATATTACTCATGATTTTACCCATTTTGTCACATAACTGGCATATTTTCTTCTGAACTTGGCTCAGTCAAAGTGAAACAGGAAGTGACATCAAAGGGGAACTCTTCAACAAAGAAAACTCTCTGGTCTTTGTTGAAACAAGATTTTAACTCTGACTTCATCTCTTTAATAGTGACTCAAAATGATCTACAGAAACATCARATTCTTCTCTACAGTCGGGGTTGTTGGTTGTTGTAGCAACGCTCCGTTCACACTCAGACATTCCCCTTTGACATCACTTCCTGTTACTTCACATGCAAATATCTCAACTGTTCATCTTAGCAGCATAAAATGTGTTTTTCAATATGTTGTCAATGTTATCTCTCCAAAAAGGAATTCACATTCATTACAAAAATTTGATGTCACAGGCACTTTAAACTCAAGCCTGTTTTCAAATAGAAATTATTTCCTTAGAATGAACCTGAATTGCATCTGCAAATTTAGACAGGATTCTGCAGTTTGTTAAATTGTGTATTTTTGTTTGATGTTTTCTTTATTTCCAAGGGTTCCGCCTGGTAAACACAAAGTGCATGATGCTGGTGGACATGTGGAAGAAGATTCAGCACTCGAATGCTGTAACACTTAGAGAGGTCTTCACCACTAAGGCCTTTGGAGACCACTGTGAGTTTGTACCGTTTGACTTTTTAGCTGAGAACGGGTTTCGAATTAAAAAATGAATATGTAATTCTCGTTTGTTTGTTTGTTAGGGTTAGTGTTCTTGCAGTTTTTTTTTTTCAAGTTTTGCTTCAAAGTTTGATAGTTGGGCATAGCAGGAGTGATGAAACTTTGTACTCGGTTCTCCATCTTTGATCTTTGTGGTGGAGAAATGAAATGCATCATGAAGATTCTAACATTTGTTTTCTCTTTCCTCCCCAGCTTTGGTCTTCTCGTATGACTTCCATTCAGGTGCAGAAACCATGTTCAGCAGACATTTTAATGACCCAGCAGCAGACTCGTACTTCACCAAAAGGAAGTGGGGTGAGTTCTTCTTCCCTTTCTCCTCCACTCTGAAATAGAACCAGCATCACCTCAGCTGCACCCCACCCCTCCTTAACTTTTCACACATTCAGAGCTTGTTGATTTGTTTTGCTAATGAGATCACTGACATGTATCTATTCGGATGCAGCGTTTCTTCTAAGTAAAGTGCGTGTGTGATTGAGCTCATGCCAGACACTTATGTCAGGTTGAAAAAATAAAACAACTGCGATGAATCACGAGGCGCTTCAGGGTCTGAACCGAGCCTTAAGGAACTGTTTGGAGTTTATGTTTGACACTTGGCTTCCAAGTGTCTTTGTGGGGGAAAAAAAATAAAATTTGGGCGCATGGAGGAAACTGTGGCTGAAACTGATCCTGGGGCAGGTGCTGGCTGCCTACAGTAATGACGGACTGAGGAAGCAAAACAGCCGAGGCCTTTGTTTTGTAGCAAACACCGATAAGAAACCTTAAAGCCCGAGGTGTAAGAGGAACAAACACACAGAAGGAAATGCTAAGAAAAAAGCCGAAGCACAACGTGGTCTTGGATGGCTTTCTGAAATGCATTTTGGGAAACATACAATTTTGGCACATTCTGTTGCGGTCAGGGTGAAACTGTGGTTTATGAGCAGCAAACACACACCATCGCTGTACTGCCTGAAAGTGCTGCTGATGTGTTGATCGATTAAAAAAATAATAATGGGCAAACAGTTTTTTCTAAAAGTGCCTTTTCTCACATGTATCATGTTGTCGAGCATGAGCTGTATGTTTACCAGAATCAGTTTTTTAAAGGGGTGGTTTAATACAAAATCAACTTTTTTTTAGCTTTATATCATGTTATAATGTCACTTCCTCATCAAAAACATACCCAGAGTGTTGTTTTTAGGGCTGCGACCAACGATTATTTTAATAATCAATTAATCTGCCAAATCAAACACTTTTACACAATTACATAAATATGAGTAGATATAAATTAATTTTATTCCTGTATAAATTATGGATGCAAGTTATCGATTAATGWATTAAACTGAAGTTGATTRACTAACAATTAATTGATAACCAGCTATTTTCTTAAAAACCAGTTTTCTCTTGAATCAAGAGGGTTTTTTCATAACAAGAAGGATTTTCTTTTAATTCTGCTGAATTAAAAAAACAGAAGGACATCATAAATATTTTACCAATTTGTTTTGCCAGTTGTATTAAGTACTGACTGAAAAAAATGTGGATTTCTCATACATTAATAAACACGGTTATAGCTATAAAACATAACAAAACATAAATTTAATAGGTTGCTGACTGAGGAAAACAGAAGAAAATAATATATCATTTTTAGATTTAAAACTTATTAATTTATTATTATAATTAGAATTTATTTACATTTAGCATTTATGATTTTTCTTTTCTTTTTTACTTTTTGCTTGGTTCTGTCTGACTGAAACRGTGTTCTTTGACCCAGTATGCAGTTCTGAAGCACCTGCTGCTCGCGTCTTTTTTTATTTTTATTTATTTATTTTTAGCTTATTCCTTTGTCCTGAACCTTTTTGCTGCCTAACAAATAACTTTGAGCCTTGTCAGGAAAAAAAAAACAGGAGTGTTTTATATTTCTGGCCTGAAAGCAGGAGGAAACAAATGGTGGACTGAGGTACAATTTTCTTTTTTCCCCACTGGACATGTTTCCTCTGCGAGTCAGCTCTCATCAAATCAGACCATCATTTAAAAAAATGAAACGTAGCATATACTTTTTATCCTAACTTCAGATCTACTTGGCCTAACAACACAATTTAAAAACTGGTTTAAAGTTTGAAGTCTCTACTTTTGACACGAGAGTCTCAGAGAAGGCGGATCTTTACAAGTAGAGTTTTTTTTTTTTCTTAAACTTTATTTAGGTCAGCCAGCATTGACAACGCTCTGCGGGTGACGTAAACAGAACTGCGACATGGCGAGGGACTCGTAAATCGCGCGACACAACGAATCGATAATGAAATTCATTGCCAACGCTTTTAATAATCGATTTTTATCGATTTTATTGATTCGTTGTTGCAGCCCTAGTTGCTTTGACTCATTCATGCATGTTTGAGAAACCCCTGAATCTCCTGCAGCCATGTGGAGCTGCCTAAACACTTGCTGGGACAAAGCTCCGCCTATTTACCCAAAGCTCCTCCCTGGAAATCTGTCCCCAGCTGTTTTTATATTATAAAAGGTTGCAAAATACAATGCTCCTCCGTAGGTTTGTATACGGCATGACGTGTTGTTGTGAAGACGTGCTGAAGTGGGAGTGTCAGAAATGGTAAGAGGTTCTTAAAGAGACAGACGCCAGTTTGGAGGTGTTTAGATAGACTATGATGTAAAGTCCAATTTTTTCCAATATTTTTTATATATGCAGCATTTTCATAACAACTGAAGGTAACAGTTACTTGGATGTGGTATAGAATTGAACAATGTGCCTGGAAAATGCATAATCCCCCCCC